CGAGCGGGTGTGCGCCGAGGCTACGACCACAGGCTTTTTGGGGCTACTGTCACGACAACTCGTATACTTGTCGGCATCGCAACCAACACTTTCATTCGTGTCAGTAGACTAGGTAGTCTTGCTATGAGGTAACGTTCAAATGCCAGTATCCCAACAAGTACCAAGCCCAAAATGTGCATTTACCCATCCTATACACTCACCTCAATCCTTGGTAAACCCGACCTCATACGATTCTCATAAACCTATATCGTCGCTCGGCCTGAGCGCCGCCAGAGTGGTCTGGGATGCTTCGCGGCATCCTCTTGGCTTGCTGATTGTAGAGTCCAGAGGCGGGCCGCTAAACGAACCGGGGTGTTAGATCTTGGGCTGGGGTCAAGGGTTGAGGGTTGAAGAACTTGGGATGAGGTTCTTCGTGGCCGAGACTTTCCATGCGAGATTGCAACCTGCCAAAAACACCCGATGCTAAGGCTTAGACACCAAACGAAAACCCCCTCCAAACCCTGCAACACCCCCAGAACTTGTCTGCTTGCTCGAGCTCCTGAACGGTCGCAGCTGGCGGCACAATTCTCGGTACCGGGACCGCGACATGCATGGTGCGCGTCGGAAGGCTTGGGGCTTTCTAGGATCGGGTCATCGATCCCTTTAAGTGAGGTGCGCCTTTGACTTGAGAAGTCGGTGCTGCATGATGAGTTGGCTGGTAGGTTGTGCAGTAGGTGCATATGCTGAGCAGAGGAGGGCATCTGCTACGGTTTAGAGTTTAGGGTTTAGGGTTTAGGGTTATGGGTTTTCAGCCAATGCTTTTGGGTGTCAGGTCCAAACTGACTCAGGCTTGACATTGGCGCAGGCAGGGACGCAATGTAAAGGACATTCAAGGCCTAACATCAGGGTATGGCATTGCTCAGTGCACGACTTCTTGACTTTTAGGCGACTCCGCCACAAACCTGGCAATGCAAGCCCATCTGCGGCATGCAGCCAATCACTCGGTGATTGGCTCTGAACCGGGCGCAGCCGCAATTCCTCCTCTTGCGACGAGTGACTTGGGAGTTTCCGAAAATTAGGGGTACCTTATTTTGGGGTCTTTATAATAAGGATCCTAGTATTTGGGGTACTATATTGTCCCCTATTTTCGGAAACCCCCCACTTGCAAGCAAAGAAGCACCTTCCTGCAGCTGGCATCTGCCTGCAATCGCTTTTCGATTACAGGGCAGATCACCCAGAGACTCCAATACCCCTTAATTAAGGAATATACCTTAAATTATAATAGGATCCCTAATCTGATCTAAGATATATTCCTTAATCAAGGGGTATTGGAGTCTCTGAGTATGCTGGACCACGCTCTTCATGGTCCTGAGGTGTTCTGCTGCCGCCAGCCAAACTATATGGGAGTTTCCGAAAATAAGGGGTACCTTATTTTGAGATCCTTATAATAGGGATCCTATTATTTAGGGTACTATATTAGGGTCCCCTATTTTCGGAAACCCCCATGTGTGTTAGGTAGATATTATGTACTGTATGCTATCTATGATGTAATATGCACTCAGCAACTATTGGATATCCGCTAATTATAAATTCCCCTCGTCCAGGTTAGATCGCCGGCTTGTATTCCCTCTCGAACGGCACGGTGCAGATCTGGATGGCACGGTAGTGGTGCCAGAAGTCTTTCCTTGGATATGCTTCGGGAGATTCTTCACTGTCCCTGCCCTACCGCCATGAACATGCCGGCGCATCAGAACAACACTAGGGCTGGTTTGGCCAAAGAGTCAGCGACATGTAGAAGGAGCCGTCCCCCAAAGGATCAACGCCAGTTCGCTTGACCTGTACCAGGGAAGCTGCGACAGCAAGTGTATCAGCAAAATTCCCGACCTGACTTGCATCATGCTTAAGATTCAGGCTATGTCCGAAAAACTCGTCGGGGTTGGGGCTGGAGCACAATGATCCGGGACGGGTGTGCTCAAGCCTGTGCAAATGTGCAGGCATGATTCCTGAAAAGGCTGACTACATCCCATGTTGAAGGACCGGCTCAATCCGCCTTGACATGAAGACTTCGGCAAACAGAGCTTGTTAGTTGCGGTCTCCACTTCTTCTATTCGCTGCAGTGCCAGCATGGAAGATGCTGAAAAGCTTTAAAGCTTGGCTTGTGTTGAGTGCTGGCAAGAAGCCGACTGTGATGGAGAAACTTATTACGACTTCGTCCCACACAAAACCCGCCCGAAAGACAAGGCCATGATTCTGCTGTTCGTAGTATGATAACTTGACCATGCTTGTTACTATTCGTCATGCTAGTGTGCAACAGTTTTTGTTCGTATGGTTATGGTTATGATGATGAGAACTATGGTTGTTTTCTTGTTGCCTTTCATCAGATATATCAGTATTGTCGTTGTCATTGTCATTCTTGTTGGAAATATCGTCAATATGGTCTCACCAGCATTCTGTAGCAACATCGGCATGCCAGGGCAGTCTTCTGCGCCGCCTCGTCCCAGTCTACATCTGCAAGCGCAGCCGTGCTCTTGTAGCGTTTGTTCAGCGTCCAAGACCTAGGCTGGCGCACAAGATCTCGAGGTCCTGCTAATTTGCGGATCTTGTCCTTTGTAGGCGAGCCGCTTACGGGTCGAGCCCTGAAGCGTGCAGAGGAAATGCCAAAGACCGAAAGCTTGACGCACGCAGAGGAATCTGAAGAGTCCTCCACTCTTCAGAAGGCGAGGCAAAGGCCTACGACAAGGATGAATATGACCATGAGGCTGCTTCGCCGGAGGGTTACTGCATGGTGCTCGCACATCGGGTGAACAGTCGCCAATCAGACCTGCGTCCTCCTGATGATGATGTCGATGACGATGATGATAGAGGACATGGTGAACATAAGCTTCCACTTTTTGCTATTGTTGACGGTTGGTGTTAAGTTGACCAATCACACAGTATCTTGGCTGGTATGGTGACGGTGATAATGATGTTGCTGTTCGTGTTGATGTTGACGACCGTTCTGCTGACTCGCTGTTGCCATGCAGGCACCACTAAACCCGACGCCCCAGATCCTGTGCCAAAGCCTGAACCTGAAGGCTGACGTTTGCAGCATGTAAACCCAAGCCAGCTCCTACTACCCTGACCACTTCACTTGACTAAGCCCTAGATATCCTGATGCCCACGTGATCTAGGGGTTCTATAAACCGATCCTCAATCGTAAACCGTGATGTAGTGGCCTTTATAATTAGAAAAAATTGGGGCCCGTTATACGATAACTACAATAAGAACCCCCTCAGAATAGTATCAGCAATTATTTAGGCGGCTACACTAATGCCACTCATCAGACAAACCCTAAATCCTAATCCCAAAACCCTAAACCCTAAGCCCAAAACCCTAAACCCAAGACCCTAAGCCCACGACCCTAAGCCCAAAACCCTAGACCCAAAAAGCGAAGGCAAAATCTCTGGCTTTCAGATAGAGCGCTCCCAATCCTCGGATGCAGTGCGGACGTCTAACCCCAAAGGTCTTTGTCATCTATGAAATTGACCTATATCATTGCATGTAGGGTTTAGGGTTTAGGGTTCAGGATTGACCTATATCCTCGCATGTAGGGTTTAGGGTTTAAGATTGACCTATATCATTGCATGTAGGGTTTAGGGTTTAGGACTGACCTATATCATTGCATGTAGGGTTTAGGGTTTAGGGCTTAGGATTGACCTATATCATTGCATTTAGGGTTTAGGGTTTAGGTTTAGGGTTTAGGATTGACCTATATCAGTGCATTTAGGGTTTAGGGTTTAGGATTGACCTATATCATTGCATTTAGGGTTTAGGGTTTAGGATAATCATGTATCATGCCTGTTTGGAAATATTTATGGCACTTTAAGTCTTTAACTATACTGTGTGATATTTTTCAGGGTTCCCTGGTAGCCCTTGAACAATACGGGTACACCTTTCAATCATCAGTTTTGATAGCCAGACATCAAAATCACACTGGAGGACCTCGCTAACACAAAAAAATACAAAATCAATGAAACAAAATAAATAAATCAATACATCCATAAATAATTAAATGAACAAATAACTAAAAACATAAATAAAAAATAAATACATAAATAAATA